ATCACCCCCTATTGGTATGTGGGGGTGCGATCAGGGGAGGTGGGCTAGGGGGAGGGGCTGTGGGCCTATCATGGTGGGCAGGCTGATTGGGGGCAGGGCTGGCTGGTGGGGAGGAAGCGGGTATTTGACCAGCTGGCACTGCTCTTGATCAGGGTCGGAGAGTCCGATCAGGGACAGGCTGGTAGGGGGGAGGGGCCACAAGGTTGGTTAGCTGGCCGGCCCCACCCCCTGATCAGGCTGGTTCACTGGCCACAGTGGGCATCATAGTGACTGGTCATTATAGTTGTTATGGCCGTTACAGTGACTGGCTTTTTATATATATAGATAATACTAGTGTATAGTGACAGTACTAGATTTTTTTAGTTGTCTTGTTATTTCACTTTTAAAATATACTTTGTTTCACATGGGTCCTTGTATTTTAAGAGAATTTTTATGAAAGAGGAGCTTTACGTAGATTCATATAATATACTATTCTATATTGGATAGCATTTACTCATACAGAGCTTCAAGCATAATATATTTTACAGAAAAACCTAATGTATATTCAGTGCTTTCCTATATTTATTTGTAACATGATGTGGAAAATAAAGTAAGTGCAATTTTGCATCTGGCTTCATTAATCTATAATATGGTGGCATTTTTAAAATTCTGAAACCTTACAAATTTTATGGCATTTTAATGTTTCCTTAGAAAATAAGCATATACTAGTAAAAGCTAAAATATTTCTTTCATCTCACTTTAAATATATAAAACTAAATATAAACAGTATTATATATATATCTTATCCAACTTTACACATAAATCACATTTTCAAATCTAAGGCATTCTGGTAGTTTGTGGTACTTGCTTGTTAATTTCTTGATGAATTGCTAAAAAGGCCAAGAAGTGCACTCAATCCAACATGTCTTCTAAAGATAGATGATCTCAAATAAATTATCTCCCCAATCAGATTTTGATTTGTTGGGTGTTAAACCAATTCTTTCTAAGGACAGTGTTTATAAGCCTTGTAATGAGACAGCCCTCTGAGACCTTACCTCTTTCTGCCTGTAATTTTGATGAATGAAGCTCTAATTCATAAAAGATATTGTGATTGAAAAGCACTTTTGCACTTCATACACTTTAATTTAGATAAATGTTTGCTGCAATACCATAAAAATCAGGAAGTTTACTGAGCTGCAAACTAATAACACTTCAGCAGGGATGATAAGTTCAATGTGTTGATATGGATTAGTTTACTATATATATTTTAAAGATACATTTGTTTTACTGATTTAAACTAGAGGGGATCAATGAAAAAGCTTAATATACATTTCAGAGCTCGCCTTCATTTTTTATTGGTTGGTTTTATTTTTAATAACATGAGTTATGTAAAAAATTTTTAATGACAAAGATTACACATGGTTGAGATACAAGGAAAAATTTGCTTTATTAGGCTGTCTTGTATATAAATGGCTTTTTTTTTTTACTATTTTATATAAAGAAACAAATTCCCTTTTGTGTAAATACATAGATTTTTTAATTTCCCCCAATCTGAAGTCAAATCACCAAGAATCTCTAAGATATCCTGGGATCTTCAGATTAAGAAATAACCAGAGGTAATTTTTATGTCTCACTTTATTCATTTATTTAATATTTATCAGGATTTGTTTGGTGCCAGGCAGTGCACTAAGGACTGAGAGTCATCAAGAGCTTCCAGACTATGTGGGCATAACAAGCAAACAATTACAATACCATTAACTACTACAGTAGCAGGATTGGTATAAGGTATAGTGGCAGCATAAGGGAAAGAGCACAAAAGCCTACCTTAAAAAATTAGAGAATGGAACACGGGGTGGGTAGACATGAACTTCAGTTCTGCAAATGTTTGTGACACACCTGCTTGGTGGCAGGCACTGAGACACAGAAATCAGTCTATAGTGGCCTCTTTCCAAAAGTTTCCTGAGGTGACTTCTGAAAATGGTTCAGTATTCACTTGAACCCCCAAATCCACAAAATTATGCAAATCAAGAGGTTCAAATCTTCATGTTCACTTTTAAGATCACTCAAGAAACTGCCTAGGTCATGAAGGGAATGTATCTGAGACAAGTCACCACGTATCTGAAGAATGTGGTGACTTGTTCTTAAAACAGTGGAATTGGCAGGTGTTCCCAGGCCAAACAGGGGATATGCACAGATTGAATGTTCCAAAAGGAGTCTTGAGTTTTTGCTAAACATGCTTAAAAATGCAGAGAATAATGTGGAGTTTAAGGGTTTAAATGTAGATTCTCTGGTCAATGAGCAAAGCTCCTAAGATGCAGCACAGAATTTACGGAGCCTATGAGTAGATTGACCCACACATGAGCTTTCCCTGCCACATTGAGAAGATCCTTACTAAAAAAGAGCAGATTGTCCCTAAATTAGAAGAAGAACTTGCCCAGAAGAAAAAGGTATACCAGAAGAAACTGAAGAAACAAAATCTTACGGCTCAGAGATAAATTCAGCATAAAATAGGTACTAATAAAAGTTTTTTTTTTTTAAAAGGAAGAAAGTAGTCTATAATGTAGTGCAGAAGAAAACCAAAAGAGATAGCACCTATGTAGCATGGCTGAGTTCTGTTTGAATTGTGAAAGTACAAAGGTACCTGAAGAAGGTGAATTTTGAAGGTCAAGCAGAAATTAGCCAAACAAAGGAAGGAGGAAGGAACGTACCATACAGAGGAAACAATAAAAGCCCAGGTAAAGGGCTCTGAGAAAGCATGAAAGCTGTAAATGGCCCAGGATTGTTTATGGGGGAGTAATAAAAGATAATGTAAAATTGATATTAAGCAGATAAAAACCTTGATTAGTCATGCTAAGGAGTTTAAACTTTATCCTAAAAATATAATCTTTGCTCTCAGTGTTGATTGAAAGAGTTAATAAACCATATTAAGCATGGAAATATCCTCACCTAGTTGTGTTGTATAGTAATCACACTGACAAAAGCATGGAGGATGGTGTGAATGAGGGAGCTACAGAAGACCTCTAGGTCAAATGATGATGGTTTGAGCCAGGACAGTGGCAGTCATCTTGCAGGATAAATTTGACATTTGTAGCCTCAGTAAGTGCATTGATGAAAATAGGAGGAGGTAAAGGAGCAGGAGATGATTTGTTCAGTTAGGAAAATGTGGAATTAAGAGAATCTAGTTGAAGGTGTCTAGTAAAAACATGACAGTAAAGACCTCAAGAGAGACTTCTTGATTATCATTGGATTTGCCTCTTTTGTTCTCAGATAATACAAGCTCTGGATTTCTCCAATTAAGTTACTACCAAAGCTGCAAATACATTATAAAGATAGCAACACCCAGAAGATTACTGTTGTGCTGACTTTATAGCAAATAAAACAAAATAAAACTGAGATAAGGTTCTGGACCATTCAGCAATCAATCCTCAAATTTTATTCCAGAAATAAGAATTGTATATGGGCCAGTGAAAGAAGAATGAACATCCTAATAACCCATTTAATTCTCCTTGCCCCCAGAATAGCATTGATACTTTTTGTCTCTGGAGTATTTATCAAAATACACATTTAACAATCAATTACTTTATACTGTTAAGCTATATTTTAACCATGCTCTCTAAATATTACTATCCAGGAAGAGCTTGGATGACAGACTATATCTCTCACCCAATGACACTCTACAGTGCTATTGTGACATGACTGTTCCTCAACATGTGTTTTTTACTTCCCTCTTGACTACTTTTAAGTCAATTTGTTAATGTTTTAGCAAGCAGTATTGGCTTTGAGTCGCTGACAAAAAGAAGTACAAGCTGCATAAAAGCTAATAGTGTTTTACAGTGCAAGTTTCATGGTGCATACTTCTAAGAAAATGCAGAGCAGATATCAACAGATATTAATGGACTGTTGTTAGAAGTCCTCTATTTGGGCTTGGCAAAATCAAACAAAAATATTATTAATTGTTAAACAGCAAGAATTTTGACCAAAGGTATGACAGAACTTGGAGAGTAATTGCATGTGTACACATTAACATCCCCTAGAATTATGATACAACACCACCATATAGGGGTGATTTGTTAAGCTTCCATTTTCAGGAATATGTCCACCAAATGAGATGTGACAGTGTTTTCTCAGTTAATGCTGTTCCTGAAGTTTACATCCTAATAGATTGATATGAAGTAGAAATATTTTATATATATAATTACTTGAAGTTCAGGTAATTTTAGATTCATTGACACCTTCCAAAGAAGGTGTTTGAATGAAAATATTGAAATATTTGTTAAGCAGTCAAATCCATGAGAGTTTCAAATGCATTTTAATTTTTAATCTTCAGATTGATTGACCTATTAATGCTATGTAAACTTTGCTATATTTGCATTTTTCTGACTTATTTTTGTGTGTTTGGATTTTGGTCATTTTTACTATTTTATGTAACAAAGTCAGGATATCACTTTAGAAAACTACTATTTTATTAACTGCTAAAGAAATAGCTATTGTAAAGTACATGTTATGTCTGCATCATTCCTAACTCTACCTTTCTATAACTTCCCAATAACAACCATATCTTCCTTCATATGTGAATGCTTTCTTATTTCCTCATACCTATTTATATTTTTAAAAGATCTGTCCAGTTGATTACCTAATTCACTCAAAGGTATAATTATGTAAAATTGTGTGATTTTATGGATCAGAAAACCAAGTTTTGGGGGAGATACAGATTTTTGATAGAAAGTGCAGTGATATTAGAAACCCCAGATGCCTTTATCTACGACCGGCCTACTGCTAGGTCTCTACAGAAAAGTAGCTTTGTCAGTCTGTTGCCTCATCCATAAAACAAAGGTAGTAGATTACACCATCTTTCTCACAATTATTTAGAAGACTGAACAAGATAAAGAATGTAAAAGTGATCTATATTTGTAATGTGTAAATATAGCATATAATTATGAAAAATAATATATTATGTCTAACACTCACTGAAAACAAAGCAATCACAATGACCTATATTATTGTATTTCACTTGTGACTAGGCACTGAAGAAGATGTTGTGAAGTCAAAGAAAACATTCAGAAGTCAAGCAATAGTGAATCAGAATGCAGAGACAGAACTTATGCTGGAAGGAGATGATGATGCAGTCAGTCTGTTACAGGAAAAAGAAATTGATAACCTTGCAGGTAAATTTTTTTAATGTGTTTCTTCTATTTGTTGTAAATAATAGTCACATGATTACAGAACTTAAAATCTATCTCCTGTGTGCCAGTGGTTAGAATAATGCCCAATTATGTGATTTTTAATAATGTATCTAATTTCTAATGACATGATGAGATATGATATCTTACAGTTTTGGCCCATAACAGTTTTAGAATCCTGTGAGGACAGGTTGCTTCATGGAGGTACACATACAATGTCGTACACAATTTCACAGGGTTTACTGACTCCTGGAATTGTATTCTAGATCTCAAGTTAAAAACTATTGCTTGAGAGTCTCAAAGAGTGGTTGAATCTACCTCACCTCTGTATATTCAGGCCATACACCATTGGCGTGAGTTACATTCATCATAAAGGAGTAGAATTATATTCATCATTCTGTTTACAAAATAGCACTCCTGTGTCCAGAGGTATGCTGGAAGTGATCTAGCATACCTATTGAAAGCTTCCAATGATATTTCTACCAGTTGGAGACTTGTACTTTTATGAAGAAATTGTATTACTGGCGATTATAAATTAGAAATAGTACATTATTCTCCCTCTTCTAGAAAATGTTATTCTAATACCATTTCCTGGATATGCCTATGTTATTAACATTTCTTCTAGAATAAGGTTATTCTAATACCAATTCCTGAATATGCTTATGGTATTAACATTTCTGTTTCATGAAACCTATTTTTTTCTATTTAAAACTAATCTTAAATCTAGGAATACAGATTAGCCTCAAATTCCTAAATAAATATTCAACTTTTGGTTTTGTAGTTTCTTGATTTAATAGTTCAAATATTTTATTTGAGGTCATTTGGAAATATAAGCAAATGAAAAAACATTATTTCCTTTTGCCCACAGATTTGTGTGTATGTGTGTAACTTTTTTTCCCTTGGCCCATTTCTTGATTCTGAATAATTAGAGATTCACAAACATCAGTCCTGATCTTTTTAGATAATGTGTTGCCATTATTCATTTACATATGTTAAATATGTTCAGTAAATTTTAAACAGATTTGTCTTTGCATAGATCTGATCCTATTCATATTTACATAGTTCTAATTCATATTTGGAATCCTTGGATACAAAATATCTTATAAACTGTCCTAAAATATTGATTCTCTGCCTAGTCATAGTGTTCATTTTTATTTATTTTTACTCTGTGTGAAATACAATTTTATTATTAATTTTAAAAATCTTTCTTGTTGAGAATATTATATATGCCCCCTCTTTTTCCCTCCATTGCCCTCCTCCATTGGTTCCTGTCCTTCCCCAAGGCTTCACCACCCTATTGTCTGTCCATAGGTAATGCATATATGCTTATAAATTCTTTGGTTAATCTCTTCCTACCCCACCCTTCATGTTTCCTTCTGAGAGCCCTCATTCTGTTCCATGTTCTCAAGCCTCTGATTCTATTTTATTCATCAGTTTATTCATTAGATATCTTATTAGTTTATTTTGATTTTTATATTCAATTGTTGATAGATATGTATTTATTGCCATTCTATTTTTCATATTTTTTTTTTATCATTTTTCTCTTTTCTTCCTCCTCTTCCTCCTCATCCTCCTCCTTCTTTTCTTCTAATTCTTCTTTATCTTTTTAAAGAATACCCTTCAACATTTCATATAATACTGGTTTGGTGGTGGTAAAATACTTTAGCTTTTTCTTGTCTGTGAAGCAGTTTATCTGACCTTCAATTCTAAATGATAGCTTTGCTGGGTAGAGCAATCTTGGTTGTAGGTCCTTGCTGTTCATCACTTTGAATATTCCTTGCCACTCCCTTCTCATCTGCAAAGTCTCTGTTGAGAAATCAGTTGAAAATCAAATGGGTGCTCCCTTGTAGGTAACTAACTGATTTTCTCTTGCTGCTTTTAAGATTCTCTCTTTGTGTTTAATTAATCCTTGGCATTTTAATTGTGATGTGTCTTGGTGTGGGTCTCTTTGGGTTCCTCTTGTTTGTGACTCTGCACTTCCTGTACTTGTGTGTCTATTTCTTTCACCAGGTAGTGAAGTTTTCTGTTATCATTTCTTCAAATAGGTTTTCAATATCTTGCAGACTCTCTCTCATCTCCTTCTAGCACCCCATAATGTGAATGTTGGTGTGCTTGATGTTGTTACACTATCTTCATATTTTTGGATTTTTTTTTTCTTTTTTGCTCTTCTGATTGGGTGTTTTTTGCTTCCTCATATTCCAAATCCTTAATTTGATTCTCAGAATCCTCTACTCTTCAGTTGAATCCTTGTAAATCATTATTTCAGCTAGTATATGCCTTATTTCTGACTGGTCCTTTTTCATGTCTTTGTCATTATCACTAAGATTCTTGAAATTCTCACTACATCCCTTGAAGGTCTCATTAAGATCCTTGAGCATCCTTATAACTATTGTTTTGAACTCTGTATCTCATACTCCATTTCATTTGGTATTTTTTTCTTGACATTTTTTTTTTCTGCTCTTTCATTTGTGACATGTTTCTTCAGCTCCATAATTTGGCTGCTTCCCTTTGTTTGTTTCTGTATATTAAGTAGAGCTTCTATGTCTCCTGCAATTGGTAGAATGGCCTTGAGTAGCCTGTTTCCCCAAAAATAAGACAGTGTCTTATATTAATTTTTTTTTCCCCAAAGTTGCGCTAGGTCTTATTTTCAGGGGGTGTCTTATCTTTCCATGCGCTAGGTCTTATTTTCGGAGGATGTCTTATTTTCGGGGAAACAGGGTAGTAGTTGTCCTGTAGGGCCCAGTGGCTCATCCTCTCTAGTCACCTGAGCTGGCACTCTAGATGTGCTCCTGTGTGGACTGTGTGTGCAGTCTTGTTGTAGTTGAGCCTTGATTGCTGTTGGAATCACTGGGAGGAATTGACTTCCAAGCCATTTGGCTGTGGAGACCAGCTACAACTACAGGGAAAGGGCTGCGATACAGGAGATACCCCAGTGGAACAGGACTTGCTTCAATGTGGCTTTGGTGCTCACTGAGTCTGCCCCATAAGTGTGTCACTCTTGGATGCGCAGAGTTTAATTTACTATGTCCACTGAGTGCACTGTCTCTAGGGCCTCCAAAGAGTTACAAAGTCAGTCACTTCCTGAGATCACCTGGCAAAGCTACAGAGCAATCTGCAGATGTCTGTTACTTGTGTTGGGCTTAGAAGTGCCCAAGTGAGGCTAAACTGTGAATCAAGGCAGGCTGTTGCTAGAGCCAGGTTTGGGGCTTCCTATTTGATAAGTATGGGTATGCTGACTCCAGCTGCTGCTTGTTTGAGAGATTTAAGGAAGTCTGAAGCCTGAACAAGGTCAGGACATTCACATATGGAAAAGCCACTACAAACTACTTGGATGTGGCTGCAAATCTAGTGGGGGAGGATCTCAGGGAATTAGAGCAGAATGAGCAGTGTGCTCCAGTCTAATGGAAACTCAGATATGGCTGCCAGTCAGCTCTGCACCTGGGGAGTTCTCAACATAGGAACAATGACCCCTGTGAGTACCCCTATCTGAAAGAAAGCCATCCCCAAGTTTTTGCTCCAATGCCAGACAGTCTGTTTCCTCCTTGTATATCCCTGGATCTGGCCAAGTTACTGCCCCAGCACTGAAGCTCAAAGGGAGCATGTCTGTGTAAGTTCATGCATGAGCCCTTTAAGAGGAACTGCCTGGCTCGCCAGGAACCCTTGTGTCACCCAGCAACAGTCCCCACTGGATTTTGTTGCCCAAAGTTATGGGACTTCTCTTCCTGGCACTGGTTCCTCAGGCACCTGAGGGGGTGGAAGGTGGAGGGTGGAGGGTGGGGAGAAGGCTGATGGGTGACTGGGATCCCTAGCTCCTATTGGAGGCCTCTGCAGCTGAGATATCCCATTAAAAATGCCATATGTGGGTGTTGGACCAGCCTGTTCCACACCTCCACCCCTATTAATCTCAATGTATTTCCATCTTTACTCTGCTAGTTTTAGGTCTCCCATTCAGCCAGCTTTCAGGAAGTTCTAAATGATGGTTGTTCCATATTTTAGTTGTAATTTTGATGTATTTGTGGGAGGCAGTGAGTACCTCATTTCTCTACTCAACCATCTTGGTCCTCCTAAAATCAGTATTCACTTTTAAAAGAGCTGTCTACAAAAGTGACCCTAAACTTTAAATGTAGTATAACAATAGGGGATTTTTGTTTTGTTTTAATCCTACACTAGAATATTCTTTTCCATTGATTTTCAGAGAGTGTGGATGGGAAGTAGGGAGGGGGAGAAAGTGTGAGAAAAACATTGATGTGAGAGAGACACATTGATCGGTTGCCTCCCGGTCTCTCCGGGCCATTGAACCTGAAATCCAGATATGTGCCCTTCACCAGGAATCAAACCCACCACCCTTTGTTGCACAAGCTAATACTCCAACAACTGAGCCACAGCAGTCAAGGCAGGGATGGATGCTTTATGAAGAGAGAAGTAAAGGTCACAGGGATAGTCTACAGAACACATAGGCATAGACAGATGCAGTCTGTAAATGCTGAAGCCTGTTTATGAATCTAGCCTGACATGAAAGTGAGAAGGTCACATAAAAATCATTTTAGAAGTTAATTACAAACCAGTATTCTTAGATTTAAAAAATTAGCTATTAATGAAGTTTCAGAGCACATAAATATGTTATTTTGATGTTGCTCTGACAATTGTGCTGATAATTGTTTTTTCTCAGATATTAAAATTTCATAAACAATGTCTTTTTTATCATTGTCAATGACCCAATAGTGTATTTAAAATGGCTAAAGAAAACTTTGCCATCACAGGAACTCTAACTCCCAATCAAAATCCAGGAGATAATAAAAGACGCATATAAAATTAATAATCACAATAGAAAAATAAGAGCAATTGCCAACTTAGTTAAGATAGATTGTGGGGTATTTTTGGTTAAAAAGATAGGATTGATTCTAAATATAGAAATAAATTTTGAATAAAGACAATTCAATGAAAGAGAATTACAGGCCAATATCCCTCATGAACATAGATGCCAA